GCATCACTCTAACAGATTACCTCAGAGTTTGCTCCTATACAAAAAAGCAGCAGCTACCACAGCCAAATGTGAAAAGATGTCTCTGTGCACTCTTCCTCCATTTTTTGGTGTACTCACTCACTCCCATCTTGACCACTTATCACCCATTTAATCGTATGCTGGGACCCACCCTCAGATCCCCACCGACATTCCTCATTTGGGCAAGGACATTCTCTCATGTACCTACTACCAAGCACATTAGATAATCTATGGCATTGGTTGCGTCCAGATGCTGACCTAAGCTGCAGGAGAAGCATGTCTCCATTGGAAAGGGGCTTCCCATTCACAGAGAAATGGGTCCCACATCCTGGGACACTCCATTTCAATAAACTGAAAGCAGCTCTTTGGAAATGGAGGGTATCAGCAGCTCTAGTCTACAATACCTAAGAAAATTCAGACCCTTTAAAATGACAGAAACACTCTGTTCAGAAAACACAACCTTTTACGGACTCGTTCTGCTTTGACTGGGAGCTTTGCCAAGGATTTCAGCTGGAGGAGGAATGAGGCCCTTCATTTCAGTTAGCTAGAACAAAACAACACAAACAGCATCACAAATGCCCATCTGGGACGTTTACAGGCAAGGAAGTCTGTTTTCTTATCTACCTCCTCCTCAGAATACAGTGAAACACTGGGGCCCTTTTTGCCTTTGTTGAATTAAATTTTGACAGCACACAGAAGTAAAAAGCTGCCCCCCTTTTTGGTCCTGTGAACCACAGCTGGAAGGTTACGCCAGTCTTCTGCCTGACTGGAAATAAAAGTGTCAAGAATAAAGGATGGGCACTTCTTAGGAAGACCATACATCCCCCATCCTGTGGAAAAAGGCATCAAGGAAGCTACTCTAGCAATATCACTGCCTGAGCTGTCTGCACAAGTGACTTAGCACTTCTGAAATTAGGAATGTCTACTACATAGAGAAAGGTTGAGGGGGGGAAATAGAAGACCGAAAACAATATATTTGGCAAGCACATTGCAGAAACTTCTAGTACATACTGCTGTCCCAGACCCAGTGGGCTGTGCTTAACTCATTTGTTTCACGTAGGTGAACCTAGCCAGGATGTTTTCTTTAGTCGTGGGCAGTGTGACAAGAATGGGACATCCAAATAAGGTCACTCAGGATGTGTTTAACAACACCGGGTAAAGTCTGTGGCAAAGGCTCCTGCACACACAGACACAGAGAGCATCCACTGTATGTACCGTTGGCTTAGTGCGTCATTATTCCTAGAATAAATTCTGGAGAGCCACTCCACCCTTGTATTTGCAACGCAAATATACAAAAGATGTGATTGTCCCAGAGCCAGTTATTACGGTGACTTTAAGGAAGGGGAGGCAGAGAGAAGGGCCCCTGATTTCCCTGCCTTTTTTGAAGAGACGCAGTGCAAGGGAAATTGTTTAAAGCAGAGGTGGTTTCAAATCTGTCAACCCAAACTCCCTTGTGATCTTCGAAACAGCAGAGAGCAAAAGGCTTCCTGAGGCCATCCCAGACACCCAGAGAGCACAGGGTTCTGCAAAAGGACAAGCCACACACCTGTTTAAATAGAAGTCAATATGCTTTATTAAGCAACAGTCCTACAGGTGCTCCTACATGATGAAAGCTTGTCCAGCACCGAGAGGGAACGTGCGTTTTCACTCACAGGCAGTAACAGGGAAGGCAACCCCATTGTACTGAGCAGGAAGCTCCCTTTTTTAGCCTGAAAATTTTGGATGGTGCATAAACCATTTTCAAGGGGTCTGTAAAAAGTGACTGAGAGCAAATCACTTGTAGTGACTTGAATTTGTTGTAAAAAACTTGCCTTTCACTTGCAAGTCCTCTGCAGTTGATTGCAGTGATAAGCAATAAAAGAAAGGAGTTACTTTGCTAGCAGTGGGACAAGGAATGACATAAGTTAGTGAGATCAGGGTTTTACGGATTTGAGGCTATAGTTTTGATCCAAAAATGACTTAATGCTGAAACTTAAAGCAGTCAAAATGAGGGAAAGTCAGATCCCAGGGTGCCTCCATGACCCTCACTCAGTTCCTTCTGTGTACAGCTTTGGGTATAATTTGCAGTTAAATGATAATATTTAAATAAATTACAAATCTTTCCACTGATTTGCTTTGCTTCATTCAGCACAGGTGTTTATGTTCATTTACAGATGTTCAGCGGTCTGGGCCCCATTTGCTGTGTGTCCTGGGCTAGCACTCCTACCAACGAGGAACAAATATCACAGGCATTACAGCTGAGGCATGCAGCCCAGTTCAGCACCCAGACTAACTGCCTTAACCAGGCCTGTGGTGTCCCTGAAGCAAGGAGCATGGAAGCAGCAGGAACAGGCCTGGGATGAAGGCATGGCAGAGAGAGGGAGGAGAGTGAGACCCACTAAAGGGCAGAACATCAATAGTTTCTTCAAATTTCAGCCTGTGAGTTTCTCATCCATCTTTTCCTTTCAACCTTGCTCCAAAGTGAAAATTCCCTCGCTTTATCTCAGTGGTTCCTGACATCCCCCATGGGGGGTAACTCCAGGCTGTCTCCCAGCTGCAGGATGCTTCCAAGGAAAGCCCTGTGGCACTTGACACTGGTTGTATAACATCACTGAGATGGGACGTGGACAATGTGACCATCTTGACCATAGAATCATCCGTGTTCAGTCCTAAAGCATAGGTCAGACCTACTCTTTCCCACCAGCATGTCTCATGCTCCACATGTACTCACATGGCTGTTTTCACAGCACCCACTTTCCCTCCTATCTGCTTAAAAGTGTAGGCTCCTCATGGAAAGGACTAAGCTGTTTTCCTATTTGAACAAAACTGAGCACTACCTGAATATCCATTTGGACTAAGTTAGCAGTTAAAGATGAACAGCAGTTCTGAGTTCACCGAGATGTTTTTGCTCTTCAAATTCAGTTCTGGTTTTCTTTCTTTCTTCTAAATCAAGTAATATCTGTAAGCCTGCAGCTGATTACTTACTGAGAACTGAGAAAAGCTGCCTTGATTCATCAAACGTCTCAGAACAATATAAGAAATCTAAAAAAAGCAATACCGACATACGTGGTAAGGGTGCAGAAATGTTATTGCTGTTGTAACAGCATAACAATACATGAGAAGAAAGGCTGTTCTCACTAACAGACGCAGCTGAAGAAGTCAACAAGCTTTCATACACCCGGTCACTTCAGTAACAGAATGGGTAGGAGAAGGTAAGTGGCATACCAACAGAAGGAATAAGTGGAGCAGCCTGGAATAAAAAAGAAACGGACTGTTAAAAAGAACAACGTGTAGTGGTCATCCATAGATTTAAAACAAAGGCCTATGAAAAGGCAAAATTTGCCTTATGACCTTCACAGAGACTTAAATACATTCACTTTAGCCCAGCAGCTTAAACAGAACTCTGAGGAGTATGGAGTTAAGCTGACCCGATTGGAAAATTTTGAATATGTCAAACAATTTAACCACGTGAAAGCAGTCTTTGCTTCTTTGACACACAAAACACCGGAACAGCTCCTCACAACTGGCATGTGCTAAAATGGGGTTTCAATAAATTTTCTAACATCTGAGATCTGTTTCTCTGCAGCTATGACAGCGGAGAGAGATCAGCTCAGTGAACAACGGCAAGCACAGAAAAATGTCATGATGGATATGAAATATCAAAGCAGAGAAACCGTGTTCACAAAAGAATCACAAAAAAACCCCAAGAGGACACACTACGCTCTCACAGAAGGACATGAGTGCCTCTCACATGAGTGACTCTCACAGAAACTTTTGCAACAGCTTCTGAGGTATACATATGCACATTTCCATGGTACTCTAGTGGAAAGGAACAAAAGAAAAACAAAATAAACAAACAATAAACCAACCAAACCCCCCAGACATTTGTTTTAATACCAGAGTGAGAAATATTGGTGGATAATTTCAACAATAAAAAGACATGTCACTTTAAACAGAAAAAAGCAACCCTGCTTTCTTTCCAAGGTATCCTTTAAATTGAAGCATGTCAGACATTATACCCAGTAAAACATCTGTAGCCTAGCTTGTCTTTCAGTGAAGACAGCTTTGTCACTCTACTTAGTGAAAGATATGACCCTTATACACTTTGGCTAAACAATGCTATCATTTACACAGTGTATATACACTGATGCAAGTCTCTGGCTTTACACAGGTATGACAGAAGAATTTGGCAGTGTTTTGCTAATTTTAAGCAATAAAAGCAAACCAAATCAGCTTATTCAGTTGGTTTCACTTGTATCAATCCATCAATCCATGTTTGGTGGTGGCAGCATTGCTCCACAGCTTGTTAATGAAGCTAAGAATTCTTTGTACTCTGTCCAACAAGAGATGGTAACTGAACCTAAGACTGCTACAATTAAAATCCTCAGTTTTCCTTAAAAAAAAATTTATTGTCCAGTACTCTTTTCAGTTTTGTATTAATTTTTGAAAGAAAACTTAACACAGTCTCGTTTTATAACCTGTTCTTCCTATCACTCTTTACACAGTGTTGCATTAGTACAGCATTTTCAGACAATAAATGGAAGTATTTTTTTTTAGATCAGAAAATCTGTTTGTAAAGATGCAGAACATTGGCAGGACAACTGGAAAGCAGGTATTGTGTCCTGGAGCATTTTTTTAACATCACTGCCCACTTATTACTTTTCCCCTTGTAGTCCTTCCAAGCTTGCTTGCTGTACCTGAGTACTAAAAACGTGCCAGTATGAGTGATTCAGGTTTGATTCAGATCTTAGATCTACTGGTCACACTAACCCCTATGACTCCATGAAAGACTGCCAGCCAGATGTGCAATGCAGGAACAAACATGCAGTTTTATATGTTTTACACGTAATTTTCAGTGGTTTGGCCGGTTTTAAATTATTTAAGTGACTCAAAATGAATCAGGAGAAATAAAAGGGACAATTTATTTGAAGTGGGTCGTGCTCATATCAAGTTTCCTTTGCTTAAATGGAGTGACATAAGTATCAGCACCACAGGCTTACTGCTAAACTTACACCATAATGAAGGAGGAATCAGGCCCAGAGCAAACTAATATCAGATTTTGGTACATTTGCAAAATATTGTATCAGTATTTGCTGTTTCCAGTAGTAAATCAGATCTAGTTTGGAAACCGAGGGTGCAGGTGGCAATCTGAATAAACACGTCTGGAAAAAAAAGGGATTGTTCAGGTTTGGAGGGTCATTCCCTTCAGTAAAAGTAAACTGCAGTGGATTGCTCTTCCTGGACCGAACAGTAGGGGCGTGGGAAGCTTTCAGATGTCACAGGGTTGTCGATAACATTTGAACATATGATTAGCTTTCGTGAGCTGTCTTTAGAAACCTTACATTTCTTCCCCCCCGCACCTTAGCCAGAGATCCTTCCCTTGAGGTTTCGGGCCACTTAAAATGTTGCTTTGACAAAAATCAAGGATGTGGAGAAGTTTTTCCTGTGTGATGTCACTTTGCTGCCCTTTATAAGACTCTGCAGAAAAGAAGGGAACTTATCTGAGGGTTCACTCTCCAAACACAGGTGACCAGGAGCAAGCAAGAAGCACAGACTCACATCAAGTTGCAGATACCGACCAACTGCAAGGAAGGGTGAGCCATGCCACAGAGCAGTGCTTACTACCTGCTGCTGGTACTCTGTAGCCTGAAGGCTACCCTCGCCTTTCCCAACTCCTCTCCACTGCTGAATCCCAGCTGGGGGAATGAAGATCGCCTGATGCACCTCTACACAGATACAGAGAGGAACAGCTTCCATCTCCAAATCAATGCTGATGGCTATGTTGATGGTGCTCCTCACCAAACTATTTACAGTAAGTGGCTTACTATGGAACCTCAGTCTTCAGGGGACTAGGGGAGGGAGACCAAGGCTTTTGCTACTTCACTACCTATAGAAAATCCCCTTCTCTTGTTAGGCAGGCAGAAGAGGAGTATACCTATGGGAGGGAAAAAAATATTCCCTCTTGTAACTAAAAGGTTCTTAAATTGCCTTATCATAATTAATTTTCATGGAAAACTGAGATATTTTTCTTCCTTTGCAGAAAAACCTGGCCCAAACACTATGGGTGATAGAAAAATTAGGGTGTTTTTTAAGGTGTATAGTTCTTTCATAGCATTTCAGAAGTACTTCTCTTTTAGTGGCACTCAAATCACAGGTAGGTAGGAATCATAAAGTCATGTTCAGTATTATTGCTGCACAGTCTTCTTCATAAACTCAATTAAAAACATAAGCATATGTAATGATGTTTTCACAGAAGTGTATAAGGCGCAAAGGATATTTTCTAAGTTATCATATAATCAAGGCGAAAAAAGGATCATGGTCTGCTATTTTTTGTTTTGTGTTTTTTGGGGCTTTTTTAGGAATCACTAATGAAAGTAATTATTTTTAGGAATTACTAATGAAAGTAATGAACACTGGCAAGAAAGCTTGCACTGCCTTCCTGTATCTTTAAAGGTGTCATAAAACTCCTTTTAGGTTTATGGGTCAAGAACAAGAGTGATGTTTTAGAGAACAGAGAGGAAAACATGTTTCTCCCATATCTGCCATGAAGCAAACACACCAGCATCGGGAAGGGTGGGGCAAGAAGGGTAAAAAAATCAGGCAACAAAAGGGGTCTTTAAAGAGAGGGTCACTGAATCTCTGCTGGGTCACCACAGTACCACTGAGATAAATGAGAAGTGAAAAGTTCTGCACAAGGGCTGCAACAACCCCCTGCAGCTGCACAGGCTGGATGTGTACAGCCCTCCTGGATAGGACCTGAGGATTACAGCAGGCACTGAGTCAAACACTTGCATTGAGAGGAAGGCAAACCATCTACTGTGATCAGCAGATCAAGGGAAGTTATTCCCACGTTACTCAGCACCGGTGAAACTGCTCTTGGAGCTCTACAGCAGCCCCAGTTCAAGGTGGATGTGGAGAAACTGGAGCTGCTCTGACAGAGGGTTTTCAGGATGGTCAGGGGCCTTGAGCATGATCTGTCAGGAAAGGCTGGGGGAGATGGGTTTGTTTAGTATAGCAAAAAGGAGGCTAAAGATGACCTAATAACACAGGGCCGTCACAAAGGTGAGAGAGACAAACTCCCCTTGGTAGTGGCCAATGACAGAACTAAAGGCAATGTCCCCATCCTGTGGTTTGGGACTTCAGAGAGGATGCTAAGGGAAATAAAAAGTTGTCTTTGGGAGTTAGTACAGCACTCAACAGGGCACCCAGGGGGGTGGTGGTGTCTCCATCCTGGGAGCATTCCAAAACTCAGACAGACAAAGCCAACAGCTGACCTGATCTCGAGTGGGCAAATAGTCCCAGGTTTCACGGGGAGGTTTGTTCAGACCCCCAGAGGACACTTCCAGCCACAGCATCTGTGGATCTGTAAAGCAACGGTGCAATGTCAAACTGGGTCATGGACTCGACATCTTTGTTTCAATAAACAGGTGCCCTAATGATCAAGTCCGAGGGTGCTGGCTCAGTGATAATCACAGGTGTGAAGAGTGGACGCTACCTGTGTATGGACATGAGAGGAAACATTTTTGGTTCGGTGAGTGACCTTTACTAAGACAAACCTGAAAGGCAGGTGCAGTCTGCAAGCATGGTGCCTACTTCCTCAGCTACAGCTACAGTAGGGATGCAGATTTAAGTCAGCTGAGAACCTGTCACTTAGGTTAAACTTCCCCCTGTTCTTTGTCTGTATTGAGTTGTGGAGCTGACAAAAATCACCTGAGTTCCTGCTTGCGTAAATGAGGAAAGAACAAGATCCAGTGATGGATCAATCTGAATTCCTGCTGTAGCATAGAGCCATGGGGTGGGAGTAGCTCAAACAGTGCTGAATTTCTTGGAAAGAAAACACTGTTATTGTTATAATACCTTTGCTGAAAGCATGGGCAAGCATCTCAGATCTACATCTGACTAAGCCTGAGTTACAGGGCTGGCAGATCAGAAAAAAATTTGCTTCAAGAACTTGCCTCTTTTTTCCATCTTTAGTTGGAACCTGGCATTCACTAATCCCTCTGCTTACACCTGTCTTTCTTTTTCCCCTAAGCATTACTTCAGTCAAGACGACTGTGTGTTCAACCACAAGACGCTGGAAAATGGATATGATGTGTACCAATCTCCCAAACACAACTTCCTGGTTAGCTTAGGCAGAGTTAAACAAGCTTTTCTCCCTGGTGTGAATCCACCACCGTACTCCCAGTTTTTATCCAGGAGAAATGAAATCCCTCTGTTTCGATTCAACACACCTGAACCCCACAGAAACACTAGAAGCGCAGATATCGACCCAATGGATCCTCATCAGATCCTGGTCCCACAGAGAAAGATCTCTCTGTTTGGATCTCAGCTGCAGCAGCAAACAGACTTTTCCCATGTGCCCAAAGAACCCATGAGAATCAACCAGAACGACGTGGTCAACCCAGATGACCCTCATGCTATGATGGATGCCAGGAGGTACGCAAGTCCTCGCTTCTATATTACAAAATAACTGTGGTCCCACTGCTTGCAAACTGAAGACACGGGCAAATATAATAGGCAAAAGGAACTGTCTGGCATATTCAGTTTGAATGTTGAAATGGCTACTGGAAATCCTGGGAAGAAATCCTTAATTTTAAATTTTGTACCTATAAATGACAGTTTCTGGAAAAACGAGTTGGTCATTTTCCAGATGGGGATGTGCTTTACTGGAAAGAAGATAAATTTTTTAAAAGAAGAATACAAACCAAACATTTTAGGGTCTGAATCACCACCGTAAGCAAGCATCAGCAAAAACGCTAATTCACCTGAATGAAACAAGAAACCAATGTTACGTTTCTGATGTAACTGGGAAAAGCCCTGGAGCATCTGAGATGCCAACAAAGACAGGGAATCCCTTACTAGCACCATCCCTGGCTGTGCAAGCACAGCAGACAAACTGTTATATTATTATATAAAAATTACTATTTATGTTTTTCACTGCTAAATTGGCTCTTCAGTCTCTTTTTATGCCCATATGAGTAAAAAAGTGACCACTCTGCTGTCATAGGAGCAGCACACATGGAAAACTGGAGTAACTGACAGGAAAACAGGACAGGATCAAATGGCCTGGTGTAGAAAGAGTAATTTCTGACACTTACTGAATCCAAGCTGAGGTCTGAGAAAAAGAGTCTTACTGTCTCTCTAGTGCTTCTCTATCATACTTCTATATTGACTGAGTTCTACCATCATAATATGGAAACATAATGTAGAAACATTAGTTTTGCATATTTCCAAGCCAGAGAGAAGTTCCAGGATCACTACAAAACCTAATTGATGTAAGGTCTTAGGAACACAGGACAAGTCAAATGATGAGGATTAGACCAAGGGCTCTGACTCGTATTTTGATGTTTTCTCCCCTCTGAACTCATTATAGTTTTGATTGGTCTCAAAAGGAAAGGAGTGATTCTAATGAATTTAGGAGAATTTCGGGGCAGGCAGATAGCTGCATACTTTCTTGCTTACCCAAATTAAAGCAAGACTTTTTACCTTGCTGTCTACACAGTGGAGAGGTATGATTTCTTTTATATATTCTAGTTTATTAATTCAACTTGATTCCTGTACCATTCTTCTTGGCTTTTGCTCCTTGAGAACTCTGGACTGCAATTACACAAGCAAAGTTTTCATTTTGCTTAAACTGCCATAAGTAAGTCCACAGAGCTCTCCAGGATCCAAGTCAACAGACCTACAGCAACTTGAATTGTGAAAAGTTCTTTCTTGATCTATACCAAACTTCGATGAGAAATGTTGGTGGGGTTAAATCTCTGTACCAACTCTATAGTCTATATATTCTCTCTATATTCTGTACATTAGAACAAAGGAAGAAGGGTTGCTTACTCCATGAGGAGTTGGGGGATTTAGTCCCTAAGCTAAGAGTGAATTCACAGTGGATTTTGCATCAAAAAACATATTTGCAACTATAGAGAACTGTATAGAAATGCTGAAAGAATCAAAGGAGATGCTGGCAATCACCAGCTATAAGAAAGCCTTATTTATATTGCAATATTTATTTATTTATTTGAGTGGGCCTTAAGCCCCACAAAATATTTATAAATATTTATAAAAATGTATTATAGAGATTATTTCCTTTTATAAATGTACCAATAAACTTTTCCTTCTCTCCAAATGATGGATTCTGCAACTTCTGTTTAAGCTCCCCATTCCAGAAGGACTCGAGTGAATAAATGCCATTAGCAGTGTCTGAGATTTTTTTGTCTCACTATCCCCTGTGTTTTTCAGCCTCATAGGATGCATCTTCTGGGGTGTTTCATTCACCACAACTATGAAAGGTCTGTGAAAGGTGATAAGGAAAAACTGTTAGTAGGTGTAGACTGACCATGAAGGGATTGTCATCTCTACTGGGAAACAACTTCTGCGACCCAGAAGCAGTGGGAAACCACTGATCTAGCAGCTAAGTCCACTAGGAAATATTTGTCATCCTGGCTTCAAGATCTTAGGATAAAAGATGCTTGGTAAATTACCATTACTGCTCACTTATTGCTGCTCATACAAACCATTGTAACTCCATTCCTAGGGCTATGCTAAGGCTCTGTTTTGCAGCAAAACAACTCCATCAGTGTTTCACCCCTCCTTCTTTTGCCAGGGTGGGGTTTTGGAATTACACAGCTTGATGCTTTGATATACCCTTATATCTTCCCTTCCGAGACAGTGCTCTTTCCGCCCAGAGCTGATGAAGGTGCAAGGACAAGGGGCAGAGGAGACTGAGCTGGCCCTTTCAAGACCTCCCAGCTATTTTTTTTCTATTGCTAGATTTTATTTCACTGCAGACTATGTAATTTTACAAAGTGCTCTTCAGTAATAATCCTGTAATCCTGTTTGAGAACAGTCCCAGACAGTAGAGCTTGCCTAAAGTACTGAACAATGTAACAGCTTAACATCTGCTCATGCAACCACTGTTTCTGCTCTCCTGCCTGCTGTGCAGGCCTTTGCTACGATATTTTCATCACCCACCATTCTGTCTTCCCCTGCCCTTGTCTTCAACCCTTAGCTTGATTTAACAGGGATTCTCCCTCTTTTTACATTATTATCTGATTCTGTGTTTTTTAGAAAATCACAGACATTCAAAGAAATTCCATGGCTAGGAAAGAAAGAGCTTCATACAGAGGATTTATGCTGGAGCAGAAAAACAACATTTCTGCACCCTTTTCAGCCAAGCCCCTGTGTATTTCACAAGGACGAATGAAGTTTTGAGTGACGTATGCTTGTGAAAGGAGCATGAAAAAAAGAGTAGGGTGCCAGTCAGATACAGGTCTCGAACGCTACCTAGAGATGAAGATTATGAGATGTATTTGGCTACTCAAAGAAATAAGAGACTCCTTCATTTTTTTGACCTGGAGTAGTTGTGCTAACATAGGAAGACAGCACCTATGAAGGGCCACACCTGGTTCAGGCTCCTGTTTCTGACAGTAACCAGAACCAGGCATCTGAAAGGATAGTTCCAATAATGATAACGTAGCGCCTGCTTTTTTCCAAGCCTTGTCACACTGTTTTAGATCCTGGAGCATGACGATTCACACATCTTAGAACATCCTTGCGCTTCCCTTTAACCTTTATTCCTTTAATTCTGTAAATCTTCATTAAGCTACCACACATCCCAGTCTACTTTGTGTTCTGTTAAGTGATATTATCTGGATAATATCTAACAGAAATTGAGTATTTTGCTTAGTAACCTAGTTGAGGGCTATGTGGTTTTGCTGAAGCACACTGTGGACAGCAGCTTGAATTAGACCACAAACCCATTCCAGTACTCTGAGCAAATCCTCATCCCCAACAATTCTTCCCTGCATTCAAACAACATCTGGTGTATAAGCCAGGAGTCTATTTGCTGAGGCTAAGGCACAATCCTAGATGCAGCCTAGATGTTTTCAGAAGAGAGAAGGACCGATTTTAAGACTCAAGTAGTAAGATTGGCAAATTAGCTAAATTTAACTTCCATTTCTATGATTGCTTGGGTGTTTCACTGATTTTGAAGTCCTTCTGTAAAGTAGGTCTCCCCTTCTTCAACCCTAAATGAAATTCATGTGCCCAAGAGTGAGCTTCATTCCTGTCTGTAAGCTTTCAGGGTAAGCAACATAGGAAGTCACAGAGTTTAAAACCAGCAACTTCCCAAGTGGAATATTGCCTACTTGTTCCCCCAAACTTAATCATGCATTAAGCACCAGCTCCCGGATCTGCTGGTAACAGGAAGTCTTTTACAAAATGCTGTTGGTGTTTTATCTGAATAACTCAGAGGTTTTGATTTATTTAACCCAGGTTGTTGTTTCCCATTTTCAAGGTAGAACTACATTTCCCAGCTCCTCCAGCAAGAATTACAGGTGAGATCTCATCAGTGCCTGCACAATGGCAATGACTGTACAATGATTCCTTACCTTGATGAAAGGCACCTTTCAGAATCTAAATTCAACATCACCAACTCCCCACTGTCAGTCAGAGGTTAGTATTACCCCAGGTTTTTCTCCTCCATTGTTTTCAGCAATTATCTTCCAGTTTGTAGAGGATATTCTTGTCACTGGTACCAAAGTGCTGTGGTGGGTGGTTTCATGCCATGTCTTTAATTTCACACCTCCAATTCATCATTTCCTCCTCTGCATGATATTCTGACTTAGTTGTTGATGATGATTCCTCACTAATATTTCCACATTCCTATATTTTTATTCAAAGTCATAAGAAAAAATGCCCCATGAGGAACTTAAGTAGCAACTTTGCTCCAGCTCAGTGCTTGACCTCGGACGTTACTACTTACTCATATGCCCATAAATTGCCTGCATACCTACTTCACCTTTTTTTTTCTCTAGTAACATTTATCTTTTCCAGTTGAGCTGATGGTTTCCATCGTGGCATGGTGTCAAGTGCTCAATTAAAATTCACCTAAATAATTTTCCATCATTTTTGCGTTGCTAAACATAAGTTCTTCCATTAAAGGACTATCAGTTTAGTCTAGTGTGAACTACTTATGGCAAAAATTCATTTAATTATAGTCAAGGTTTCATTTACCTCTCTTGTCTGTAATTACATTCTCCTTCAGCATTAATTCTAATGCCTTGAATGTTATTAAGGTGAAACTAACAGTTCTGTAAGATTACTTTGTCCTCTGTTCTCAAATAAAAAATATTTTATTTCCTATTCTCTAGTCACACAGTTCCACACCCAACTTGACAGATCTATTTAAAATACTTGCTTACGGATGTGTAATTTTAGATGTGCTTTCAGAATTCTGGGATAAAGATTAGTCATTTCCCCTGACAGAAGCATATTAAATTCTTTAATTCTTGGCTTTAAATGTGGTATTTTGCCTTTCCTCATTCCCATCATCCATCTTCTTTCACCCTTGTGTTCAATACTGCCGTAAATGAAGTAATTCATTTGGGGGATATAATTTAAGACTATTCAATCTCTCTTCCATCTACACACTGCAACATTTCTGATACTCCTTTTGTTGTTTTCTATTTTGATATACACATATCTCAAGATGGTTTTGCTACTGGCTTTAATTTATTTTGCAAATTCTCATTATTTCATATCTAGCTTCTTTCTACTCCTTATAGTTTCTTTCCCAGAACCAGTAACTCATTCGGAAATGACTCTTGATCTAATCAGGCCTAGAGACCCTCCCTGCCATTTTTGCCTGTTTGTGATATAACTAGGCAATTTTTACACCTCTAATTTAAACAAGCAAAGCTTTCCCCCTTTCTTCCATATTAAGTCCATTTAAGGCTCTTAGGTATAGTTGACCTTGCTAATTTTGTGACTCTTCAGTACAGCTGACCTTATGAAACTAATTTTGTGATTCTTGCCCTTCTGAAATAAAACCTTTTTAAATTCAATTTTCAATAGCTAGCTCTTCCAAAAATATGCTCATGACCTACCACAGTCAAGTCTAGTGCATCACCACTGCTTCACTTCACCTATGGCTTGATCAACCAACTGGGCATTAAGAGGGAGAGAAAAGATCACATCTAGTTATGCTCCAAAAGGGGTTCTGCCTGGACCTCAAGTGCATTCCTTTAATGCCCAGTAATTGCCTAGTCCCGATTTGTGTTTTTACCCTGGTACCCTCCTATGCCCATAGTCTCAGGGACCTCTGCTATTGCTCTCTGATTGTGCTCTCAGGGGCCCCACTGCCATCTTCTGGTGTTCAGGTAGGACATCCGTAGACTCATCCAGGGCTCCCTGCCTGCCAGAAAACCCCAGGGATGTTTACAAGTGACATGAGAGCCATTTCAGCACAGGAGACCTGCCCA